TCAATTCATGCTAAAGCACCATTAGTTTTACCAATCTCTCTCTCTTTCTCTTTTTTTACTATCAGTGCAGATATCACCACATTGAAACAGCAGATAATGACTTTGTTATTACAGAAATAGTTTGGAAGTTGCAGGCCCCTTGAAAAAGTCTTAGGACTCTCCAGGGTCTCTGACCCCATTTTAAGATTGTTGCTCTTCTTATGTTTCATTTTTATGAAGCTTAACTTACCTGTGAAATTAATTTCTGTATCTCTCTTCCTTAGCAAACAGAATATTCTGACCTGGGGTCATCAGTATGAGCCTGAGTATTGGATTGTAATATAAGAAGTAATCTTAGGAGCTGCAGAGGTGTTGTTACACTAAATTAACCCGGGTTGCTTTATAGTTAGTAATTCAGCTTCCTGTGCAGTCTCTATCCTCCTGTCAGGTTCTAGCAGCCACCAGGCCTACTGTGTCTCACCAGTTTCCTAGATCTCCTCTTACAAAGGACTGATGGGGAAACCAATTTATCATGATTAGTGTTTCTTCACTGTTTTAATTTGATAAAGTCTCTCTTAAAGTTGCATCTGTACTTTTCCTTGAGAGCAAAGTATTGTTGTTTAGTGATGGCTTTTTTCCCCTTCCCACTTAGAGGCTAGTATCCTGTTTACTTCTAGGGGGATAACTTATTCTGGAAGTCTGTCTACTAGACAGGAAGAATTACTGTATTATATGTGACATATTATTTGAAAGCCTGAAATTCTCTTAATTTCTAGGTGATCATTGGAAGAAGAATTTTCAACTGATTTTGGAAGAGTTTATTCATCTTTTAGCAAGGACTTCCTGGCTCTAGGTCTGTACAGCATAGTGCCCAGCAAGAGAGAGGAAGAGTAATTGTGAATTCCTGTGTTTGACAAATTAACCTGGCAACTGTGAAATCTGCCTTTCCCAAAATACTCCGTTGGTAGATAGGAAAGATGTAATCAAGACGGTTAAGGTGTATCTCTGACTAGAAATAAAAGTACTCAAGATTCGGTGTCACCTAATAATTGTGAATCTTCATTTACTGGGTTTAGGTCTCTATGTATTACTCCAGAAAGCCTGTGTAACAGCCATGCTCTAGGAGACGCCACTCTAAGGTTCATAGTTAATGTTAGAGTAATGCTTGCTCATTTTTGTAGTGAAAGACAAATTTCTTTTGGTGGGGGGTAAGTGCATAGTACAACTAAATATTGAAAATCAGTAAAAAACAAAATTACCAAGATACCATGGATTCCAATAGCTATTATTTTTCAACTTTATATATTTTCACCAGGATCTTGTCATGAATGCCTTTTTTCACTCCAACTATTTTTTTAAATTATTTTTTATTGTTATTTTTTATTATTTATATTATTTTTGTTGATGATAAGCTTTATTTTTTAGAACAGTTTTAGATTTATAGAAAAATTGCAACAGTATGAAGAGTTTCCATTTACTCTACACCCAGTTTTCCTCATTATTAACAGTGTTAGTGTGTTGAATAGTGTCCCAAAAAGATGTGTCCAAGTCTTAACCACTAGTACCAGTGAATGTGACCTTATTTGGAAACAGTCTTTGAGTGAGGATGTAATTAAGTTAAGAATCTTAGATCATCCTGGACTTAGGATGGGACCTAAGTCAAGTGACTGGTGTTCTTATAAAAGACAGTGAGATTTGAGACGTAGAGAGAAACAGAGGGAAAGACCATGTGAAGATGGAGGTAGAATTGGAGTTATGCTGCCAGAAGACAAGGAATGCCAAGGATTGCCAGGATCAAGCAGAAACTAGGAAAGAGACATGGAATGAATTTTCCCTCAAAGCCTCTGAAAAGAATTCACCCAGCTGATACCTTGATTTTGGACTTTTGGCCTCCAGAACTGTGAGGAAATAAATTTATGTTGCTTTAAGCCACCCAGTTTGTGGTAATTTGTTATGGCAGTCCTAGGAAACTAATACAATATCTTACAGTAGTATGGTACGTTTATTAAAATTAATGAACTAATTTTGATACGTTATTATTAACTAAAGTTCATTCTTTATTCAGACTTTCTTAGTCTTTAGCTAGTGTCCTTCTTCTGTTCCATGATCCTATCTAGGATTCTGCATTACATTTAGTTATCTTGTCTTCCTATACTTCTCTTGGCTCTGACAGTTTTTGAGACTTTTTTGTTTTTGATGAAAGTTTTAGGAATACTAGTCTGATATTTTGTAGAATATCCCTCAATTGGAATTTACCTGATGTTTTTCTGATTTGGGGAGGAATACACAGAGGTAACGTACCATTTTCATCCCATTGTATCAAGGGTACATAATATAAATGTGACCTCCTTTGTTGATGTTAACCTTGATCACGTGGCTGATGTAGTGTTTGCCAGGTTTCTCCATTGTAAAGTTACTTTTCCCTGCTTTCTATACTTTACTCTTTGGAAGGAAGTCATTATGTGCAGCCCACATTTAAGGAGTAGGGAGTTATGCTGTACCTCCTTGACAGTGGAGTATCTACAAAAATTCAAATTCTTTTGCATAAGAAGTTTCTCTATTCTTCCTCATTAATTTATTCAATCATTTGTATGTGTCAACACTCTCCTCTTCTCGACCTTGGGTTCCTTATTTCCATTCGTCCAGCTTTCTTGTCCCCTCCTGCCTTCTTGTCCTTGCCCCTGGGCTAGTGTGCCCATTTGGTCTAGTATATATGGTTGAACTATGTGTGTTATTGTTTGTTTTATGGGCTTGTCTATCTTTGGCTGAAAGGTGAACCTCAGGAGTGACTTCACTGCACAGTTAAAAGGGTTTCCGTGGGCCATACTTTCAGGGTCTTTGTGGGATATTTTGAGCACTTCCTTAATTTCTGGCACTAGAAGATGCTCCAGGATCATGTTGTATATTTCTTGCCCCAGACCTAGAATTTGCCATTTCTACAAAGAGCCCCATTTCCCTTTATTAGAGAATGGTATTAGAAATGAAGATGTGGGATGCTGTTGCTCCTAGGCCCTAAAAGTGAGAGACGTGGCTCCCATCACTCTTCATCCATTTACTTGTTAAATTCCAGTATACATACATAGAAGTATCAGAATTGTTAACCCATACCTCCATAGGAAACAACATTATCAACTAAAGTACAGTGCTATGTACAGTTCCCTTTGCCGTTAGTTTTACAGACTCCACTTGTTTCCAGTGTTACTAAATTAAGGACCTTTTCCCCTCACCACCTTCAGTGAGGTTGTTTCAAACATTTGTAATAACTTAGATTGTTTTCTTACATTGTACATTCCATCCTGGATTCCTCCAGACCTCTTAAATGATTTTTTAAAATTTATGTACCAAGGTTCACTCTTTGTGCTTGAAGAGTGATGGGTTTTGACAAATGCATAATGTTATGTATCCACAATTACAGTATCATACAGTATTTATCTCACTGAAAAATCTCCTATGCCTGATTAACTTTTATCTGGAAAAATTTTAGATAAAAGAAGTACACAAACCAAACTAATAAACACCTGGGTACGTGTCATCAAGAATTTGTAAATGTTAGCATTTTTTCATTAACTTGTTTCAGATTTATCTAAAATAAAAGAAGTTTAAAAAATCATTAATTAAGTCCTCTTGTACTTTTCCTAATTTCATTTCTCTTCCTCATTACCTAAGGGCAGTTACTGTTAAAACTGTATTCTTTCCAGTCTGTGATTTTATACTTTACTAGATGTGTTTGTGACCTTAAAAAAATATATAGTTTTGTGAATTCTAAATACATTTGTATAAATGACTTCATTTTGTATACATCTTTGTAAAACTTATTTTACTCTCATGTTTCTGAGATCCATTTATGGAGCATAATTCTTATGTTTTAAAAGCTTTATAGTGTTTAATTATATGAATATACCACACTTTTTAATCTGTTTCCCTATTTAAGTTGGACTTTGTTTCATGTTATTTCATATGCTGCATGAGCATCCTTGTATATATCTCTTCATGTACGCATGTAAGACTTCCTGTAGAAGAGTAACATCTGGGGTCCTAAAAGTTTGTGAGTGGCCATCTAAGATACAACTATTGGTCTCTACTCCTCTGGAGCAAAAGAGAAAGAAGGAAACAAAAGACTCAAAGAAGAATCTAGTCTACAGGACTGATAGCCCACAAGAACCACAGCCTCATCTATCCTGAGACCAGAAGAGCCGGATGGTGCTTGGCTACCACTACCGACTATTCTGATCAGGAACACAATAGATGGTCCCTGATAGAATGGGAGAAAAATATAGAACAAAACTCAAATTCCTAAAAAAGGCCAGACAAACTGGAGCAGTAGAGACTAGAGGAACTCCTTTAAACTTGGAACTAAAGCCAATCCTGGAGGTCACTTTTCAGACAAATAACAGATTGGCTCATAAAATGAACAATATCACCCATAAGTACTATGCTCCTTTAAATAATCATCCATATCAGACCAAATGATCAACATTTACCCTAGAGCAAAGATAAGAAGGTAAAGGTGGGGGGGGAGCAGGAAGCTAGATTAATGGAAACAGAACAACCAGAATGGAAATAATGAGAATGCTGACTCATTGAGAAAAATGTAACCAATGTCACTGAACAGTATGTATAGAAATTGTTATATGGGAACCTAATTTGCTGTGTAAACTTTCACCAAAGACACAATAAAATTTTATTTAAAAAAAAGAAAAGAATTTTCTGAGAATATATAGCTGGAAGTGAAATTGCTGGATCATATGGCATGCATGCTTTCTGTTTTACTGGAAGTGGCCAGTTTGCTTCCCAGTGTTGTTCTATTTATTTCCCCCATCTTTGATATTGCTGACTACATTTTTTGCATAAACAAAGAAACTTTACATTTTTGTGTAAAAAGCTGTCTTTCCCAGATTTTCAGAGACTGTGGAACCAATCAGGTCACTTTCTCAGCAACTGGAAACAATTTTGACAGAAGCTTGGGTTTTTACTTTAGGGCTCATTTGTTATACTGATAGCCTTTTATGTTATTTTCAAAGGTATCTACTTATTCCGGACTTACGAAGTTATTTTGGAATCCAGCTGCACCCAAATTCTCTGTTCCAGTATCTGTCATGAAGGACACCCTATACCCAAAATACGAGGTGACATAGTCAATGAGTTTTTTCTATTATCATTGTTGTTTCTGTTTAACAATTAAATTGTATAACTGACTATGACATTAAATTTTACTGGATAATTATATAAATTTTCAGACAACAACGAAATTGACATCATGAGCAATGATCAGAAGGCACTATAGAAATTATATGTATTTAATATGGTTGTTGTTGGGTGCCCTGGAGTCATTTTCAACTCATAGTGTTGTCATATAATAGACTAGAACTTCCCCGTAAGGTTTTCTTGGCTGTAATCTTTACGGAAGCAGATCTCCAGGTCTTTTCTCCTGCAGAGCGGCTAGGTGGGTTCGAACCATCAACCTTTCGGTTAGCAGGTGAGTGCTTAACTGTTTGCACCACCAGGGCTCCTTATATTTATGTATATACGTACAGGCAGTCCCTGGGTTATGAACGATATCCGTTCCTAAGTCTGTCTTTAAGTCAAATTTGTAGGTAAGTCGGAGCAGGTACATACAGTTCTTATGTAGCATCAGTTAGTCAAATGCTTGTTTTAGTATATAGTATATATTTTACTTTTCTATGCATGTAAAACACTTAAGATACACCTCCAAACCACGCAGTGTTTTCATGAGTGTCACAAAGTCGTGTGTGCATTTGTTATTACAAACCATTGTATGTATTTAACTCAAATTTTTCATATAATAGGCTTTATGGCAGTCAGTTCTTAAGTATGAGTTGTCCAGAAGTTGGACATTCGTAACCTGGGGAATGCCTGTGTATAATTATTACGTGTATGTACCTATGTCAGGAGCCCTGGTGGCGCAATGGCTTAGAACTTGGCTGCTAACTGAAAGATCGGTGGTTTGAACCCACCAGTGGCTCTGCAGGAGAAAAGACCTGGCAGTCTGCTCCTGTAAAGATTAAAGCCCATTGCCGTCGAGTTGATTCCAACTCATAGTGACCCTATAGGACAGAGTAGAACTGCCCCATAGGATTTCCAAGGAGCAGTTGGTGGATCTGAACTCCCAATCTTTTGGTTAGCAGCTGTAGCTCTTAACCATTGCACCACCAGGGGTCCGTCTGTAAAGATTACAGCCAAGAAAACCCTATGGGGCAGTTCTACTCGTCATATAGGGTCACTATGCGTTGGAATCTACTTGACAATACACAGCAACAAGATGTACATATATGAAGGACCCGGGGGTGGTGTAGTGGTTAAGTGCTTGGCTGCTACCTGAAAGGTTGGCAGTTTGAACTCAACAGCTGCTCTGTGGGAGTGATGTGGCAGTCAGCTTCCATAAAGATTACAATCTTGGAAACCCTATGGTCAGTTCTACTCTGTCCTGTAGGGTCACTATGAATCGGAATCAACTCGACAGCAATGGGTACATATATACCTATATAATATTATACATTACATATATGTTTCTTAAAAATGTACTTATCCATCTTGATTTAGCTAACCGAGAAGAATCTTCTATTCTGTTTTCTTTCTGAAAGAATATTTTATTTGACTGAAGTTCCAAGATATAAAGCCACTTGGGATTATGTAGAGGATCTTATGGTATTTTCATTTGCTTTTAGAAGTGTATTTTTAGTTAGAGAAGCAAGTTTAATAGTGATATCTAAAGTTTAACACTACATAAATCCAATTATTAATCTTTTTCTTCTGTTAAAGAATGTTTGGTTACTCTCACTTTGGTATACTGCTTATTTTAAAAATGAGAAAAATCAAGAGAAGAAAATAAAATTCATCTTTTGTTCTTCTCCACCAAGACAGCTCTAAACCAAACCTGTTGCTGTTGAATCGATTCCGACTCATAGTGACTCCATAGGACAGAATAGAACTGCCCCATAAGGTTTCCAAGCCTGTAAATCTTTACAGAAACAGACTGCCACATCTCTCTCCTGCAGAGTGGCTGATGGATTCAAACCACTTACCTTTCGGTTAGCAGCTGAGAGCTTAACCATTGTGTCACCAGAGCTCCTTCCAAGACAACTGGTGCCCACTTTTTGTCCCATTTTCTTTCTTTCTTAAAAATTCTTCTTCTTTCGTCTCCTTTTCTTTTCATTTTTCTTCTTTTTCTCCTTTCTTTCTTCCATTTTTTTATTCTTAAAATAATTCTGTGATGAGCATCATTGTGCATAAATTTTTAATGGCATTAGGATTATTTTATTATCACAAGATTTTATATAATTTACAAAAACACATATATCATGAAAGGATAAAATTAAAAATTAAAGGAACAGTAGGGAAAAGATAATGAGGGTAATAGACTAGTAAAGCCAGTGATAAGGTTAATACAAAGAAATTCAGTCTATATATGCTGTTGTTGGAAATTTTCCACTATTGCTGTTGAGAAGTTGGTCTTACATGTGAATCCTTTGAATGTGATCAGTTATTCGTACCCCTGATCCTAGATACTCTAAAAATTTTATCTCTTTTTTCTGTGCAATTTTACTATAATGTGTCTAGGTATAGATTTCTTTTTCTTTGTCATGCTTTGAAATCACTGGGATTTTTGAATCTGCGGTTTGATGTCTTTCATTAGTTGTGGAAATTTTTTAGTCCTTATCTCTTAAAATATTGCCTCTTTCCATTCTCTCTCTCATTTTCTGGGACTTTAATTACATATTTGCTATCTTTTTTTTTTGGTGCTGGATACTGGATAATTTCTTCTAATTTATATTTAAGGTTCACTAATTCTTCAGTTGTGTCTAATATACTGCTAAATATACTAGTTCACTGTTAAATTTGTCTACTGTATTTTTAATTTTGCTCTTGTATTTTTATGCTTTAGAATTTCAATTTTTTTCAATCTGTTATGTAAGTTTTATTGTTTCTTGTTCCCTGCAAATGTAAAAGTCTAATTATTATTTCTTTAAGCATAGTAAGTATAATTATCTTAAAGTTTGTATTTGATGATTCCAATATCTGAAGACCTATAGGGTTCCCCTCCCTCAATTTCTTAGTTTTCCTGTTCTTGCTGATGTTTGTGTGTGTGTGTGTGTGTGTGTGTATACCTGGCTGTTTTTAAATGTTTGGTTATTATTACATTTAAGATATTAATTTTAGGAAACATTTGAGACCTAGAATGGCAGTTCCTTCCTCTAGAGAAAATTTTTGTCAAAACCTGAGTGCTTTACCACTCAGAGACAGCTTTAATCTAAGGTTGAACCTTGAGGTTCTCTGACCATCCTTGTGACAGAGCTCAGGCTGCAAGTCCATGCAAAAGCTGATTTACATCCATTCACTCTTAATCTGAGGGTGCAGCCCTGTGGTGTCCCAGTTTATATATGTATATTATCAGGCTCTCCACCTCAGGTAGACTCTAGGTTTTGATTCCTGTAACCCTTGCTCCAAGAAGTTACCAAATCTGTGCAGCTCAGATCTGTAGCTACTTTGGCAACCACTGCACCATCAGAGCTCCTGGCAAATATCCTGAGAACCAAAGCATCTTTTAATTTTGGACTTACCTTTCCAGGTTCTTGCCTTTTCTTAGATTTTGGCCTAGTGTTGCTTCGAAGATTGTTTTTTTTCGTATTACATGTGGCTTTCTTAGTTGCCCTCTGCAGAATTACCTAGCCTGCCTAATTAGAAGCAAAGTGGTAATTGACTCTCAAGGTATCACAATTGTTTCCATTTCTATCTGCATTCCAGCTTTTATTGCATGCATACTAATTTTGGCAATGTCCCTGGAGTAGAACAGGGGAATTTTTACCTCAGATAAATCCAGTAAGTAATAGTATAATTGCCCTCTCAAGGCATATTAGTATGGGCAGTTTTTTGGCAGGTTACAACATATGAAACACTTTCTCTTTTTAAAAAGCAACCACTGATTGTTAGTAAGTTTTTCTTATTTGGTATCTGTAAAATATATTAAGATTTTTTTTTCATTGTTGTTAAGCATTTTTGAAAATATGTAGTAGGTGCTATTACATCTTATTTGAATATCTTGTATAAGCAAATGACTGAATAGTTCCAAAATCTCTTGTGTGTCATATAGTTACTCTTTGAACATTAATGATAAAAGTGACCAAGTATCTTTCTGCTAGGTCCAATAATTCTATTACACTGTGATATAGCTGCTTTCTGAAAATACAGCAGAAGGGAGTGAACAAATAATTAAATGCTTGTGATTCCTAAATTACCATAGCCTTCTCCATATCTGTTCCATTGTCAATGGCAATTGCATGATGCTTTTAAGAACCTGATTTTCTGTTCAATAAATATTTCTTCAATTTGAAATATTAATTGAGACCTAAAAATTTCGGCAGACAAGTAAAACAGCAATATGATTAAATTCATGGTGAATTCACTAGACTGTAAACCTTAGGTCTCATAGTTGTTTCTGCATATCCAAGTGACTGATTACAAGATAGAGAAGTAGCACAGTTAGTAATAATCATAATCATCACAACAGTTTTCCATTGCAACAATAAATATACGTATATAACTTGATTGATAGAATTTGAACTATAAAGCATCTAAGGAAATTTTCACTCCAATTTGCATTTAGAAAGCTTGTATTTGAAAGCAAATAGTAAACTATTGACAATATGTTCAAATGATATGTCTTGTTCATATATGATGTTGATATGCTAAGTAGATTCAGTGCTAACCTATGAGATCATAGGATCATTGATTATTCCTAAAATTAGGGATGCTAGAAAAAATGTCAAAGTATCCATTTAGCTAAACCCCAAGGCTGAAGCCAAATCACAAATTTTGGCCAAATACTACGACTGTGGCTAGACTTTGATGCATCTCTGATAAGTGCTTCCTAGAAATCCTTCACCTTCCATATGTTTTCTCTCATGGTAATGATGATGTACTATGAATTAGCAATAATCATAGGCCTTTTGGAAACCCTGGTGGTGTAGTGGTTAAGTGCTACCCCTGCTAACCAAAAGATCAGCAGTTCGAATCCATCAGGTGCTCCTTGGAAACTCTATGGGACAGTTCTACTCTGTCCTATAGGGTCACTATGAGTTGGAATTGACTTGATGGCAATGAGTTTAGTTCGGTTTTTTTAATAGGCCTTTTAAAGTATTCCACAAAATAAAATACTATCTTTTTATCATAGAGTGCTCAAACAAGCAGAATTTTAAATGAGAAATATTCATCTGAAAGCAAGGAATATGTCATTAATTTAAGTCAACACTCTGGAAAATCTTTTAGGGTATGTATAATTTTTTGTTCTGAATTGTGGGTTCATTGCTTTATCTGCATAAAGTCTAGACATTACTTCTGTTCATTTCAGAAATTATTTTTGGTGCTTCATCATTCTCGGAATTGGCTCAGACTATTCTGTGGTGTCTTTGCTGAGGAAACATTTCCTCATCTTCAAATATGTTGTCTTTATGACACTCAGAGATGTTCTTTACTAACCAATAGCAGGGTGTCTGCTGTGGGTTTATCTAAAACCTCTAAAATTCCCACTTTCACTGATCTTGCACTTCTTGCCTACAAGTTAAATGATCAAAGGAACATCTTTATGAGTTATTTGACTAAAATGGAGGAGGTGTTTATGGCCGTAAAACAGAGTAAAACTGATTGGGCTAAGTGTGCTTAGACTCATACTCATGACTTTATTATCACTACAGTGTAATCAAATGAGCCAATCAAGTAATAAAATTGGAGAGAAAAGAGATATTAATTGTAGGAAGATGAGAGGTGTGAAGTTCATATAACTGGTTTAATAAATGTCCTGAACTTTATTAGGGACAAACAGAAAATGGTTTCCTTTTTCTTTCATTTGTGCCTTCAGCCCTCTACTACCCTTGGTGATATGTTGGAGTGCTGAGTACTATATGGTAGAGGGTCTCAGTGGCCTGGAACAAATCCAGCTTCCATTCTAGTCAGTTCACCAGGTTAAAAATGTCTATGCCTCCTCCTTTGTTCCCCCATCCAGTCTGATATTTCTAAGATAGGTCACTTTTTGCTACTTCTTTTGTAACACTTATCAAATATTTGTTCTTATGTATGTTTGATATCATTATTCTTCACCAGTCTGGGGTCATATTATTCTTGCTCAGTATTTTATCCACATCCCCTAGCATAGTGACTGCCACATAGAAAATAATTGAACCAACAAATGCAAGTTTTCTGTTTTGGAATGCCATTTACATTTTTCTAGACTATTTTAATAGCACTACTTACATTTACCTATGAGGTATTCCCACTTCTAGTAGGTGCTTCTTCAAATTAATGCTCTCTTCTGCTCCTTGCTACATTCCTAAAACACATGGATGATTATGTCACTCATCTCTCAACAACATTTTGTAACCCTACTGTCTTAGGCTGGGTTCTCTAGAGAAGCAAAACCACTAAAGCATATAAATATATACATATAGAGATATGTATCAAGGAAATGGCTCACATGGTTATAGAGGCTGGAATGTCCCAAGACCTTGAATCAAGCTGGAGGCTTCTCCTGAAGAAGGCAGGAAGGGACAGGAACTGGTTGAATGGACACAGGGAACCTGGGGTGAAAAGGAGGAGAGTGCTGTCACATTGTGGGGATTGCAACTAATGTCACAAAACAATATGTGTATAAATTTTTGTATGAGAAATTAGCTTGAGCTGTAAACTTTTACCTAAAGCACAATTAAAAAAAAAAAAAAAAAAAAAAGACGGCAGGTAAGCTGCTAGCTCAAGTCCCCAGAACTGGAGGTCAGATGAACAGGAGCCAGCTGCAGGATCCAGGGCAAGCAAAAGCCCATGAGCTTTGCCAGAAAGTCCACCTGTATTGGATGCAGGCCACACCCCAAGGAAACTCCCTTTCAACTGATTGGCTGCTCACAGCAGATCCAGCATGGAGGTGATGACACTATATCAAATCTCGTGATGAAAGTGATCACATCATCGTATGATTGCCAGACTATATCATAACTGCCAAACCATTGAGAATCATGGCCCAGCCAAGTTGACACACAACCTTAACAATCATAGTCCACCCCTTGTCAACCTGGTACCTGTACGCATCTCCTTAAAACCATACATAATCTCTGAATAATGACAATTTTAAAGTCATACTTGCACCTAACATGATACAAATACACATACAACCAAATACACACTAGCTCTGTTTACAGCTTATTATTTTATACGTGAAGGAAACAAAAATATTTGATGCACACATATAGGGCAGTACTCGTAACAATTAAAGTCCTTGTTTTTGAAACTGGTTATGTGGTCATAACAAGTATTTAGAACTACCTTCTTCCACCACCCAGTCTATATTCCCTTTGCTGTCAACAAGCACCTCAGCTGGTCGTGGTCCTTTGCCTGGTGGAGTGACCCAAACCTTCATTCCTGAAGGGTCTGGGCCATTAGTAGTCATGTTGCAATTGGGTTTCTGTTATAGCAGCACTAGATAACTAAGACACCTACCTACCAGGTAAAGTCAGAATGCTTCACTGAGCCTCATAACCTGGCCCCAATTAACATTTTCTATCTTACCTCCCGTATACTTCTCCATGCACCCTGTATTCTGCCTGCACCAGAGTCCTTGTGGACTAAAATTCCTGGCACTTTGACACTTCTCTCTGCTTGTTTAAGCTGTTCCTGTGGGTGGGATGTTCTCAACCCCTTCTCAGTCTATGAAAATGACATTGCCTTTCACAGGCCAGCTCTGTTGCTACCTCTTCAACCTGGTCTATCCAGGTTTCTTCCTTTTTAGAATTGACCTCACCCTCTCCTCAGTTCTCTTTATATCTGATTCATGCCATCTTTATAGCCATTACCATAGGTGCTTTGTATTATAGTTATTTCTTATGTCTGTTTCTGCCATTATACTCTTTGAGGGCACGGAACATTTTTCTTTGTACCTTTTACTCTGTCTGGTATAGTAGTGCTTCCCAAGTGTTTTAATATAATAGCTCTCATAGGAAGTGATAATACTTGTGTGGTCCCCTTGAGTAAAAAGTTGAGATTACTCATGATTAGAGATGACTGTCTAGGGGACAGTATATATCCCCGGTTCCACTAGGGCAGCCATGGGTTATTTCCATTATTATACATTTTTCTAAATTAATTGATGGACTTTAATTTTTGTTCCTCTCTATCAAGTTGGTGATATTCAAAATCAGTAAGAACCTATGTTTTAACTAGTATTTCTGCATTTCATTAATTTACCTAAGCAGTTATCATCAGCCAGCTGTCATATGATATTTTAGTTTGCCTAATAGTATCTGTGGTCAATATGTATTTATCATTTTATTTATTTTACAGTCATTACAAAGAAAAACTGCATCACTTCAAGATATCCGACAATATGTCAGAAGCCCACAGTCTCTACAATTAAGGGTATTAAAATTCTCGGTTTTTATTATCCAAAAGAAATGTTTATGCTTTTAGCAGTAATAATCACCTTTATGCTTTTTTGTTTGCTTTTCTAAGATAGTATAGTCAGTTGATTCACCCAGAGCTGGTTGCAAGTTAGATTCAAGTTTATATTTCGTGGCCCCTGTAAGGTTGGGGTTGATGATACCAACTGAATATTTTCAACAGCTCTTGGAAATTTCTCTTACATTCATAGTTTAACTTTACCTGGTATATTATAAACCAAGTCACTCATAATATTGATCCCCATTTGCATAGGGCTCACAGTTTTAAAGTGCTTTCATGGACACTATTCCAGTTTGATCTTGAGCCTCACAGTATCCCTATGAGGAAGGTGAGACAGATACTATCCTTGTTTATTCTTTATATATGAAATAACAAAGGTCAGAAAGTGATAGCTTTGCAAGCTGGGACTTAAGCCCACACATTCTCTCCCTATGTGTAGTGTACTTTCCTCTGCACCAAAGAGCCACACTCCTTTCTGAGTGGCTGGTTCTTACCCATTTAGTGCCATTGACACCCAGCTTGCAGCTTTTGTTTTTCTTTTTTTGAAATCCTGAAATTGACTTCCTCGTTTCTCCTTTTCACTTGTTTTTTACCTGCTTAATTTCAGCCTGCTTCCCATTGCATTTCCAACCTTGTGCCAGCTTCTCCCTTTTTATTGACTTTTTGATTCCTCTGTTTTTACCCTTTTACACTGACACTGTCTTTACGACTTTTTTTCTCTGAAATTATTTCTTCAACCTGCCTCGCCTGCCCAGCTTTTGCCTCTTACGGGAGTTTCTGAAATAACCAGGGTTATTTCATGCTGTTTTTGAGATTCGTTCTTTCTTGTGGGGGTATGGGTTGTTGAGAAGTTGTTGAAGAAGCTGGCAAGTGGCACTTTCCTGATACAAGTGACATCCATGAAGACTCATGGCCTGGCCAGAGCCAAAGAGGTTCTGATGTAGAAAGTAACAGGCGGGCCCAGCAGGAGGACAAGGTGAATCAGAAGGGTAGGAAGAGAGTAAAAGGTATATGTTCATTCTAAGAGATGGAAGGGGGATTGCAGAAAACCTGGCTTGCTAAAGCACAGCTGTGATTTTTTTGGATAGAACAGATGTGTTTTATCATCTGTAGTCTGGAAGCACCATTTAAAACATTCTGGTAGCTCTGCTTTATAGTTATAAAACTCTGTCAATGATTCCTTCCCCAGTGTTCTATAGTGGTGTACCGTATTTTTACCCAAGTAACACGTGTGTTACATGTTTTTTGCCAAGCACGCCCTCCCCCATGAGGTATTTTTGTAAGATGGCTATGCTAATTTCTTTTTACAGCAACATGTAATAAAAATTAGCATGGTGTACTTATGAACTTGGGGAGGAAGGAGGGCACGGTTGGCAAAAAAAAGCCATATGACACACGCGTTATTTGTGTAAAAATACAGTAAACTGCTTCTCTGCATAATTCATATCAGCAGGGAGTGAATATGGGTATCTTATAGTCTACTTTTTGCTGTCACGTGTGTTTTCTTACTATATATATGTAAATATAAAACCCATTGCTGTTGAGTTGATTCGACTCATAGCGACCCTATAGGACAGAGTAGAACTGCTCCATAGGATTTCCAAGGAGTGGCTGGGAGATTCAGACTGCTGACCTGTTGTTTAACAGCCAAGCTCTCCACTGAGCCTCCAGGGCCCCATATATATATTTATATATACATATACATATTTATATATAAATGTTATGGTATATATAATATGTATATACATATACGCATATATATACACATATACATATTTTCTATATTCTATGTATTTATCCCTGGGTGGCGCAAATGGTTAAGTGCTTGACTGCTAGCCAAAAGGTTGATGGTTTGAACCCACCCAGAGGCACCTTGGAAGACAGGCCTAGCAATCTGCTTTTGAAAGGTTGTTCCATATATTTATCTAATCTCTTCTAGTACATTCTATGTATTTATCTAATCTCTTCTAATTATGCGTTGAGGTATATAGTTTCTTGAGATAGAGGGAAGTGCAGTAAGTCATGGAAGGTCAATATCTCCTCCTATTACACTTAAGCACATCTTAAGTAAATAACTAATACCACTTGCCGTTGATTCGATTCTGACTTATAGTGACCCTATAGGATAGAGTAGAACTGCCCCATAGAGTTTCCAAGGCTGTAGTTTTTACAGAAGCAGACTGTCACGTATTTTTCCCACGGAGTGGCTGGTAAGTTTGAACTGCTTGCTGAACTTTTAGATGGCAGCTGAGCACTTAACCACTGCACCACAAAGGCTAACTTGTATGAATTGTTATGTTTAAAATTTGGGCTCAAATTCACTATAAAGTAAAACATCTCAATGACCAATTATTAATTATTAGCAAAATGAAATGCAGTTAGTTTGACAGTAACTCAGTAGACAGGAGACGCTATCTCAAAGGATTGGAAATAGTATCTCTTTCTATTATTAGTAATGAGCATTATTAGAGTTTCAAGTATTAATGTATTTATAGTTATCATAAAATTCTCTAATGATTAGATAAACTAAAGTAATATATATGACTATTGTTGTTAGTTGCCACTGAGTCGATTCCAACTCAAGGCAACCCCAAGTGTGTAGAATAGAACTGCACTCCATAGGGTTTTCAAGGCTGTGACCTTTTGGAAGCAGATCTCCAGGCCTTACTTCCAAGGCACCTTTGGGTAGGTTTGAACCACCAACCTTTTGGTTAGTAATCCAGTGCTTAACCATTTGCACCACGCAGGATGTCTGTATATGGCTGGAATTTGTTACTTAAGTATATATATATTGAACTGAAAGTTATTGTAGAAAGTATTTGAGCAGTATTGTATAGAAATTTGATGTTGGTAAAGTGTTTTTGAAAATAGACTCACAAATTATTTTTATAAGATAAGCCATTTGAATATTTTTTACCCATGGCACTAATTTTTTTGTGTTAAAAGTAGAGTATGTACTTTATTTGGATATGTAAAGAGCATTCTCTTTCAATTAAGAGTATAGAAAGTCACAATTAGTGCATATACATTTTATAGTGTTATTTATAAGTACCTAATGAAATGTCATATGACCAACCAAATTTATGTACTTTGCTTTAACTAACCCATTATTAACTTTATAAGTTGACTTTTTGAATAATCTTAAGAATGCTGATTTAAAATTCTTTCAATAAAGTGATCAAAATACATTAATAGTAATTTTGTAAATGAATTCATTTTAAATGGACAGCAACTAAATTGATTTTATATTTTTCTATCTCTTTATTTCCTTATAAGAGAGTAAAATCTGCAGTTGAATTGAGGAAGGAGGAGACCACAGCTCCCTTACATATCCACGATGATACGCAAAACAATATAAAAGTGGTGATGTTTCAGAAAGCAAAGGAGTTTGAGCGTCAGATGACTGAGAAAATTAAACCTGAGGAACCCACCACTGTGAAAGGAAGTATAGATACCATCTTAGACAGTTTTCAGAGCAAACAAAATTTAAGACAGCTGTCTGCCTCTCTCATTGAAGCATCTAGACAAGCTGGCATTAGTTACATTATTTATCCCAAGAAAAAGAAGATGAACTGGAAGAAACAATCGAGCTTTGACAGACTTGGAATTGTGTATGAAGAGTTATCCAGGCCTCCAAGAATTCTTAAAAGGTTTTATTTAATCAGTAATTATTATATTTTAAGGAATATATTAGAGTTTGGGCCTTAATCTTATAATTTCACCCATTGAAGTTATTATTTTATTCAGCACTGAAAATATGCTGAACTTTTAGCTAAAAGACAATTCCTTATTTTAAAATATATGAGTATTTAATAGTATAAATATATGAATCGTTAAAACTATAATTTAAAGGTGGGGCTGATTTAGGAATATGAAGTAAGACTAAATCCACTTGATGGCAAAGCAGTCTTTCACTGGGAAGAAATCAAATCTGTCAAGCTATTTAAGTGATCTAGCACCGAAAAACCAACCCCTGCTCCAGACAAATACCATCCACTCAAAAATCAAAATATATTGCTAGTATTTAACTGTTTTCAAATTTTAAATTATTAAGTTGAATAATAAAACTAGATAGGCAGACTGTTTTAGTATGTTGTGAACCCTCTCAGGAATCAACACACAGAAATAATTTGTTTTAGAAGACTTCAGGTAGGTTTTTCTAAGTTGACAAATGTTTCAGATGAGAACCAGAAATTTGCTTATGCATTTTCGAAACATTTGCTGATTTCAGAGCGTCACAAATCTTCCCCATCCTAGAAAGGTCCAGTATTAATACACACAGCACCATTCTGGCCACAGTCTAAATGGCTTCTATCTTTATAAAGGATATAAGCAGATGAAACCTTGCTTCTGTGAGGTGTTGGACTGTTTACTGACCTTTTATTATTTTGATTTTAAAGTTGGGGGGATTTATTTGCCTTTTAATAACTGAATTTGTACATTTGTGTATGCCGCCAGCACGTGTAATGTAGGTATGAGCTTTAGGGGAAATTTTACTACATACTCCTAGGCCACGTTGCAAAATTTTTTTGTCAGTGGGACCTGGCCTGGCCTTCTTGTCAAGTGAGGGGTTTTGGAATGTGAACTTGGTTGGGTCTGAGAGTGCGATAAGAGGCTGTAAACCTCCACTTTGGCTGGTTAGGTTTATGCCTGTAAGACTGTAAAATGGTGGGGGAAGTAGTAGTAGTAGTGTCAGTTCCTGTTTAACTTCAGGGAGGATAATGCAAATCAAGATCAGCCCAAAGCTTATCCCTGTGTGGTAGAAGTCAAACACACCTCCACTCTCCAACCTTTTTTTACCAATTCTGACACCAGCCATCCCTCCCATGGTACTCTTTACTTCTCTTCTGGGTTCGATAATCCATTGCACTGGACACACAGAACTCACAGACTATACTTACAGTTAAGTGGCTTATTAAGGAACAGGGTGCAGCTCAGGATCAGGATCAGGAAGCATGTAGGCAGAGTCTCTTTTCTTCAGTGCAGGACAGCTCTCTCAGTTCCTTTCGACCGTGCAGGCCTCCTCTTAGCCCCCGCTCCTCTTGGCCCCCTGAGGACAGGCTCCTCTTGGCCCTGCCATCTGTCACCGCCAGCTGTGCTGCTAGATCCCTTCCAGTCCTCTCGCTGTCTTCAGTGTTATAGCCTTTGACCAGTGTTACAGCTCTTTTAGGAGATGCCTTGCCTCCTGTCTATTTCTTCTTTCTGCTTTCTTCCTTGTTTTTTCCTGCTGCTTCTCTTCTTGCTTCTTTCTATCTGACTTTCTTCCTGCTGCTTCTCTTGCTTCTCTCTGTCTGAAAAACCTGTGAGGTGCTGCATATATACACAAAGTCTGTGTCAATTTTAAAGCATGGCACTCCCATCAGGGTCATGAACTGATCAATCCCCTCTTGGTAGGGCACAAACACTTCATTTGCATATTAGGCATGGCCGGGCTACAACTCATTTCCTTTACATAGTCTATTGACCAATCCTTGCAAGGTGCCTACCAATCACAGGGCAGGCTGCAGCCTAGGACCAGATAAAAAGTATCAAAACCAAGGTGTTTATGGCTTGCCCAGGAAATGTCAACCTGGACAAAAGTAACAAACCCTCTGGGGTAGAAAACTAGGACAAAGGTAACTCCTCAGGGCTTAGGGGAAAAATCTTTCAAGCTGTTTTTCCAAAGAACCAAGGCAAAAGACCACATAAAAGAACTCATTTCACTACAAAGACCTAGAAGTTTTCCACATATTAAAGTCAGAGAACATCTGTCTCATTTCTAAAGACCTGTAATCACTTAGTCATTGCCACAGATATTTGTGAGTTAAAATCCTGTGATTACCATTTTGTCCCTGTAGTTTATTGTGGTAATTGTGTTCACCTTGTCTGTAATGGTAAAGTAGTATCAGTTGGATTTTACCGCTCTGGGATCCCATTATTCCTTTTGGGATCAGTGAACCAAATTCCTTTGCCTCTTCTCCCCCACTCCCATTTCTATCCAGCTCTGACGTCTGCACTCACAAGGCTTTTGGAGAGTATTATGCCCTCTCACCAATGCATTCTCAATGCTTTGGTGAAGGAAATGGCCTTTGGATTTTCCAAGGGCGAAGGTTTGGCTAAAGATATTGCATATTGTGGATCAACTCCCATTTCCTTTAACTTTAGAACACATTTCTGTGTAGCAGTTGTTCTTAAAGTGTAGGCCGTGGACCAGCAGCATCAAGCATTATCTGGTGTTATGGATTGAATTGTGTCCCCCCAGTGATATGTTGAATTCCTAATTCCTGATACCTGTGAATGCGACCTTGTTTGGAAATAGGCTGTTTGAAAATGTCACCAGTTAATGTGAGGTCATACTGGAGGAGGGTGTGTTCTAATCCAATATGAGTGGTATCCTTATGCAAGAGGAGAGGAGACACAGACAGATACGGAGGTAAAAGGAATCAACACAGCTGACACCCTGGTTTGGACTTCTATCCTCCAGAACTGTGAGACAATAAATTTCTGTTATTATAAGCCACCCAGTTTGCAGTAGTTTGTTACGGCAGCCCTAGGAAACTAACATACCTGAGAAGTTGTGAAAAATGTAAATTCGAGGACTCCACCCTAAGTTTACTAAATTAGAGACTGGGGATAAATCCCAGCAATCTGTGTTTTAAAAAGCCTTCCAGGTGACTGATGTATGCTGGCGTTTTGGAACCACTTGCTGGAATATGCCAGGGAATTCTAGCCAAGGCTGCACTGGTGAAGGCAGCCAAAGTTGATCCAAGGCTACCTCTGTAGAGGAGGCATGCAAAAATCTGAGAGAATATAGTGGTAGTGGCTCCATGAGAGGGTTCAGAAGGTCACAGATGAGTGATTTGGGGGCATACTTAAATTAGGTTTAACACACTGTACGAGGCAGTGCTGCAGTGCAGTCCTTGAAAGGTATTTATGCAGGAGAGGGTTGAATCTTTCAGACGGAGGAAGTTGGCAAAACCCTTCAGCCAGTCTTCTCTGGCAAGGGAAGTTCAGTGAAATTTGGAGATTCAAAATTCTCAGCCTCATTTATGCCTGCTCAAATGTTTCAATTCCATGTTTCAGTTTCTGACTCCTTCCCTAAAAGCTTCGTTTCCTTGGTGTACAAAATTTAGGAGGTTTGAGCATTTAATCGTCAGTGAAACCATTCTTTTGGGCTCTAAGAAGAAGTCAAGTGACTCCACAATTTTTATAATCATTGTGTCCTATTAGCTAAGTGATAGCTACTTGATCCCCCAGTGCCTTACCTTCCACCTGTACATCACCCCCTGCCTACCGCTGGTGCTAGTTTGAAAAGTTTTGATACCATCACATGCCATAGGTTACCTGTGTCCTATTTCATCCTGGCAAGAAGACTACCCCGGAATCCTTTGTATGTTGTATGTGTTTTCTGGGTCCACCTCTGGTACCAATTACTTTGTCAGGGTTCCTGTAGGAAACAGATAGAACTCTCAAATTAGGATAATTCTAGGAGAGTTTGATAAAGGGCAATTTACAAAGTTGTAGTTAGGTTGTAGGGAAACCGCAAATGATAATGTAGTGTTCTGGGGCTAGAAATAGTAGAAGCTGTTTGTATCCCTAGGTTTGAGAGGACAAAAAGAGGGAGTGATTACTGGAACCTGGAAGAAAACAGTTGTATAAAGAGGGTTGCTTTGAAAGAAAGAGTGAAATCTGGTTAAGGATCACAGCTAGCCTGAGGTGACCCTGACAGAGGGAGCGAGAGGAGTCAATACCTCGACTTCACTCGCCTTTTTCTCTCTGCTGGGACTTCTCATTGGACAAACTCAATTAGAAGACAGAGAGCAAGGCATCCTGTGATGTAGCCCAAACAGATTAGTTTCCCAGGGTAGAGAGCACGACGGAGAAGGGTAGAAATGAATCTGGAGGCACAAGCAAAATATATCTGGTAGAGAAGGCCTCTCTTAGGCGACATTTGATCAGAGATGTGAATGAGAAGAGACCAGCCAGTCAGAAGGGCTGGAAAGCACAATGGCCTTAAGGCTCACTCACACGATGATGTGTCTGGAGAATAGGGAGTGAGGGGAAAGAGTAGTGGGATCAGTGACATATGCTGGTGCCTCGTCATGTTCAGCTTTGTAACCCATGGTGAAAATTTTGGCTTGTATTCTAGGTAATAGAGAAGTTCTTGGAGGGAGTGACATGATCTGATTTATATTTATAAAACACACACACACACACACAAATATGCTGGCTGCCATGTGGAGAATGGATTAGACGAAAAGCAAGAGTAGAAGCAGAGAATTAAGTTATGCACTCTAGACAGGATAGATGATGGTGGCTTGTACTAAAGTGTGGAGTGGAGAGTGAAGTGTCAGAAAGGAGAGAGAAGGAAATTGACTTTCCTCACTTTTATTCTCCTGGTGTTTAGCACTAGATCTTTCTCATAGTACCTACTAAGTAAATATTTATGAAATGATTGGGATTAACAATTTTTCCCCAATAGAATGTATTTATCCATCTATCTCCTATGGCTAGAATAATATCAGCCCTACAGTAAATGTTGCTGAATGAAAATTGTGTTGCAAATGGAGAATTTGAGGGGGGAATCCTAGAATTCTAGCATTTGAAAGCATATTAGGTGTTATCTAATTTAATCCCCTAATAAAAAAGAATGAAGTCTGGGATGTCTACTGGGTAGCCTGCTATGTGTGTAGTCAAATCCTTCATTCTTCTTGCTTCCTCAAGTTCATGGCCTCTCCAACCTCTTGGATACCATTTCCTTTCTCGCGTCAAGGTTTATCTCCTTAATTCTGCATTGTAATTCTTTTTGTTGGGGAGGCTGTAAATTAAACCTGAAAGGAGCGTTGATCCCATTATATCAGTACTCTAGGGAGACTACATCTTTAAAAACAGCTTCTTTTGCTTTCATGAACTTTACAGAGCTTCTTCATACAGTGAAAAGGAGGATTTGGGTTGCATAAAAGAAGCATGTAATTTTATTTCTATAATAAAAGAAAAAAATAGTAAGTTTGTGTGTGGTAGAGTTGATGTAGTGATTACAAAGATAATTATATTTCTGTAATTAAAAAATCACTCTTTTTAAAACTAGATCATTGTCTCATGGAATGCTTCATGAACAGAAGAAATATCTGCTCAAAGTTCCCTTGTATGAACGTCAGATTCAGTGTCCCAGCCTACCTTCATGTTTAGATTTTGAAGAATTTGTCCAAAGTAAAGGAGGAATTCCAGGAAATACTGATGCTCGAACATGGGCTATTAATATGTGGATGAAGCATAAAACTCAGCCTAAAGCTACACAAAAGAAGGTTGTTAAAGTATCTCTTGTAAAAGACAAGCCTGAAGTGAAAGAACCTCCAAAAATAGAATTAAGTGATTCTTTGGAGTCTGATCTTCCTCCAGAGGTCATTAAATATTATAAATCTGAAGTGGAGATTTTGACTGAAGAAATAAATAATAAGAAAAAATTTTCTGCATTTTCATATTGTAGACGTGGAGCTATTTATAGGAAACTGGGCAAGTTAAAGAGTGCCATGAGTGATCTACAGAAAGTAAGTTTTCTCTAATCATAATAACAGTATTCACATTTACACCTGCTGTGAATTGTTTCATAATTTTTTACTATAACTTTCAACAATGGATAATTGTACTGTAACACAAGGGATGTGTAAATAAGTATAATTATTGACATTTTCAAATAATTAATTTTAAAAGCACTAGATTTTGTTTGTCAGATTGTGAGGTATTATATTATCCTCTACACTTACTGGAGCCCTGGTGGTGCAGTGGTTAAGAGCTACAGCTGCTAACCAAAGGTCAGCAGTTCAAATCCACCAGCCACTCCTTGGAAACCCTATTGGGCAGTTCTACTCTGTACTATAGGGTCACTATGAGTTGGAATGAACTCAATGGCAATGGATTTGGTTTATACACTTACTAAACCATTGAGATAAATAACGTTTGAGAATTTTATGTTATCTTTTTTTTAAACAAATTAACTTTAATTGAATTTATATATATATTATCTAGGCTATATCCTTGGAGCCATTGTTTCTCAATGCCTATTGGCACCGACATTTCATTTATCTTTTCCAAGACAAAATTAATGAAGCTTTGGATGACTTGAATTTTATAAATAAATACAATAAAAATAATGCAGGTGGGTTGTCTGTGGAGACAGTCTTATAATCTATATCTTTGCCTAAGTTTTTGCCTTTTACCACTGTTGTAATGATAAATAAATCAGTGTATATATAAGTCCTAAAGAAAATGATTGTGACTTTCCTAAATTAAATTTTTTATTTTTGATATTGTAAATTCAAGACTCATAGGATACTACATTGTTTTCAAAATACTCATCAAGGTTTGAAATATAAGTATCATTGATATACACTACAGCAAACTGGTTCCTCACTGCTCATCTCAAAAGAGGAATATGAACTTAAAAATTTTAGTTATAGAAACTTAAAGGGGAACAATCAGAAGATGGCAATATAAGCAGCTTCATGTTCTCGTCCCTCCTGCCCTTGCATCAGAAACACCAAAAAATAAACAGAAACTGGTAGAACCGACTTTGTCAGAACTCTGGAAACTAGTCAAAGATCTACAGCAACTAAGTGAATGCTGAATCAAGAAAGAGGCTACTTTAAAATGTTGGGAAAGTTTTGGTGTTCTATCCTACCCCCACCCCACCCCACCAATTCAGTGCCTATCTTAAAACTGTGGTAGCTTATACTCTCAGAGTCTAGTGACCCTGGTCTCTGGCTCCAGAGGGAACAGAGTAGACTTTATTTGAAAATTACTGTGTGTGCATCTGTTCTTACCTATCTAAGTGCTGCCTAAAGGACTGATGCAAGGCACCCATTTCTGTTTGGCTTGTCTCAGATCTCATGCAAGGCGGAAAAGTGACAGGCATTGCCTGAAAACTGAAACCGGCTGTAGTTGCCTGGAACAGAAAAATGCAGGGTACGTAAAGCAGGCAGGCTATAAATGGCTAAAAATCTTTATTTTTTATTTGAGCTTATTAGACTATTTTTAAAGCAATTGCGTGTATAGGCTTTTTGGATAATAGGCTCAAGCCTCCTGTGAAGAAACAAACAACTTGAGGCCAATCACGGAGACCATCTTTGGCTCATTTATAGAACAGTGTATACCTAAAAGAATTGAAAACAGAGATCAAACAGATAATTGCAGGCCAGTGTTCATAGCATTATTCACAATAGCCAAAAAGTGGAAATAACCCAAATGCCCATCCATGGATGAATGGATAAACAAAATGTGGATATACGTACAATGGAATATTACTCAGCCATAAAAATAATCAAATTCTGATATATACTGCAACATGGATAAGCCTTGAAAACATTATGCAAAGCGAAATAAGTCAGACACAAAAGGACAAATATTGTACCACTCCACTTATATGAGGTATCTAGAACAGGCAAACATGAAGAGAAAGCAGAATAGTTGTTACCAGTGGTTGGAAGAAAGAAATGTGGAGTTACTGTTTAATGGGTGCAAAATTTCTGTTTGAAGATAGCGGTAATAGTTACACAACATTATAAATGTATTTAATGCCACTGAATTGCATGCTTAAATTGCTTAAAATGATCAATTTTATGTTATGTATGTTTTATCACAATAAAAGTTAAAAAGCAAAAAAAAAAAAAAAAAGATTATGAAACAAATCAGACCTACAGAAAGGTAAAAGGTAATTTTTGTCTCTTCAAATTGAGAATACTTTTAACCACAAATGAGTATTTACCCAGCCATTGAGAACAAATTTGGCATTGCTGAAATTAAAAAGAAGAAGCTTAAATGTTTAAGAAAGTATAATGGAGAAAAACTATTCTGAGAGAGATTAATGTTTTAAAAATTTTCATAGTAGAAGGTTCATAACATTAAAATTTATCTTTTTTAATCTTCTTTAGAGGCATATTTGTCAAAGGCTGAAATTTTCAGGGAAAAAAATGACATTACTTTGGCAATTCTAAACTATACTCAGGCAATTAAATGCAAGCCCACAGTTGCTGATATGTATTTCAGGAGGGGTGAGATGTATGAAATATCAAACCAGGTGTTGGCCATTGATGACTTTTCTAAAGTAAGCTTTATAATATATAATACTGCCAATTATATATTTTAAATCATAAGTTTCTCATGCTAATAGTATAATAAGTTTTTGAAAGTCTTTTCATATAGGTTGCATAGTCAAAATTAATTTATTAAAGCTTAGGACCTAGAATTTTTATTACTGGAATTGATACTAACACTATATCAGTGATTTTTTTAATACTGGTGAATGCATGTATTCACATCAAACATTTGTGTTGAGGGGCATTGAAACAGCTCTGAGGGGGTCCTGAATTTTCCAGCTCTTTCTTTCAAACCATGACACAGTGGTTGAAGAAACCTTTGAAAATTGCTTCTTTCCCTCAAACAATATAGAATATTATTTCCCACTTTTTAACTTGAGACGGCATTGATTCTCTTCTGCAATGAACCTATCTGCTCTCAAAGAAGCTGTGTTCACTGGTAATTTATTCGTTCAGTTACTCACAAATATTTTTTGACTAAGGCACTGTTATGTAGTGGATAAATGGCGGTGACTAAAACAGACATGTTTCCTGATTACATGAGCATATAGTTAAAGAACAGATATTAAAGAAATAAGCACATATATAAATGCATAAAGGAAAGAAAGATGGTGAGGGGGATAATTTGTTTGGTGGAGGAATGTCAGGGAATCCTGCTTGAGGAAGTGAATTTTTAGCTGACCTGGACTTGAGAATAGAGTCAGTACAAAATATGCCCCTCATTGTAGCAGAGTTGTAATCTTGGTCTCCTGACTCTTACCTCTAAAATCTTAGTTCAATTGAGAATTTAGAAGATATTACTTAAATAATTTATTTCTCCATGCTCCCAACTTCTCTGTTTTTTAATCCATGATGGTGAGCCACACACTTGACATTCTTCTGCTTGAGGACAATATGTTTAAGTTTAGTAAATTCTGGTCTAAAAGTGACCAAAAAATCTCTTTTAAAATATCTTTTAGATTTTCTATTCTGTTTGTTTCCTCTATCTGGCACCAAAAGTTTAAAATAGATTAATGCAGCACCTTGAGGTCAACCAAGTTTCAAAATCTTTAGTTTTTTGTTGTTTATTTGTTTTGTTTTAAAAATGCTTGGTAACTTCCTTTGTGCTTCAGTTCTTTTCTACTATCAATAGATGAGCTTTACAGCTGAATATAGGGTTGCTGTGAGTCAGAATCGACTTGACGAAGCAGTGGGTTTATATAGTCATTTAGTGCGTTCACTCTATTGCCTCGTATATAAATGAGAAATGAATGAACTATGCATATACTAATTCATTTCTTTTTACCATTTTAGGGACTGGGTAAATCTTTATTTGATGTGATTGAATCAGCCTTGATGTGGTTTAATATGTGTCATCTTCAGTTATGATAAAAAGCTGTAATACGCTCAATATATTGAATGTCTACTCTAGTTGAACAATTCACTTTTGATTTTTAGTCAGTAAAACTTTCAGTGGGCAAAAGACTTGGCTTCTTGTATATGCTAGGTTTTTTTTTTTTTTTTTTTTTCCCCCACCTCTGTCTGAGAAAAACCTCCCTTTTCTAGAATTTGATGAGGAATGGATTTCCTAAAGATCTGGTCTTGATTAGATGCAAATCTGAAAGTTATGGAATCTTAAAGTGGTTTGCTTTTATGTACTCTGAAGTTAAAAACAGTTGTAGTCTATCTGACTTGCTGTGGAATTATACACTTCTCTTAGTTTTTTTTTTTTTAATTTATTATATGTTTATGTGCTCTCCCCATGTAGTGTATTTTTTATGATCCCAAAAGAACAGATGCACTATTGAAACGTGGGATGTTTTACTATGAAAATGAAAATTGGATTGCAGCCATACAGGATTTTACAGCCTTGTTAAATATAGACCACCAAAATTCCCATGCGCGGTAAGAATTCTCTTAGATGTGTTTTTTGAAATTATTTTTTTGAAATACATTCTCAGAGAAGTGAATTGTTGAAATACATCAGGTAGCCCTTTAAAAATAGTGAATCAATTTTCAGTGCCACCAGTGAATGAAAATCCTTACCTACACCTTAACAGTAGTGTGTAATTTAATTTAATGGGCATAAAATGACATTTCCGAGTTGTTTCATTTGCATTTCGTAAATACTAGTTAGGTTATCAATTTTTAAAGCATTGGCCTACTACCCATGTTTTTTCTTCCTTGAATTTCTTTTTCATATCCTTTGTATTCATTGAGTACAGAGAGCTGTTTCTATAGTATCTTTTTGTAATTTGAATGTTATACTTTGTTCTGCCAACTTTATTGTGCATTATGTATTTCTCACTTTATTGTTTGCCTTTTAATTATGAAGTTTAAAATGTGTATATAGTCTTACCTGCGCATCTTTTCACTTAAACAATTTTTGTTTGATTTTAAACCATTTGATAGCATAATAAAACATACATCCAGGAAAATGTGCAAAATAGAAATGCACAGCTTAATGATTTATCACAGTGTAGCCGTCAAGAAACAGAACATTTCCAGCACCCTACCAGCCCCCCTTGGGTTGTCACCTCCCCCAGAAGGTAACCACTGTCCTAACTTTTATTTTAATCACTTCCTTGTATTTCTTTATAGTTTCATCACATAAGCGTGTGTCCCTAGACATTCTTAGTTTTACCTGTTTTTTGAATTTTATATAATGAATTAATACTGTAGTTATTCTTTCGTGTCTAACTTTTTTCACTGAATTTTATGTACTGTTGCATGTAGCTCTAGTTTGTACATTTTTTTTGTATAATATTTGATTACATGAATATGTTAAAATGTATTCATTCTACTTTTGATGAACATTTGAGTATTCCTGGTTTTTGATGATTTATGAATACTATTTCCATGAACGTTCTTGTACAAATTTCTTGATGCACACATTCTTGTTGGATATACAACTGGGAGTGGATTATCTGGCTTATAGGGCATGCAAGTGTTCAGCTATAGGGCCAAACTGATTTTTCAAAGTGGTTGTACTACCAGCAGTGTATGTGGTTTCCACACCAACACTGACTACTAATATGATCGGCAAATTTTAGCAATCCTAGTGGGTATGTAGTAGTTTCTCATTGGGTTTTAATTTTCCTTTCCTTCATTACTAGCAAAACTGTGCATTTTTCATATGTTTATTAAACATTTGTATTTCTTCTTTTGGAATTCATGTCCCTTAGGTTGTTTGTCTTATTAATTTGTGTAAGTTCTTATACAGTCTTGATATGGATCCTCAGTTGGTTAAATTTGCAGGAAAATTTTTTCCCATTCTGAATTGTCATTGCACTCTTTATTTTCTTTTGATAAACAGAGTTCTTAAATGTCATGCAGTCTAATTTAGCAGCCTCTTATATGATCTTCTAGAAGGTTTATTGTTTTACCTTTCAAATGTTGATTTACAGTATACCTGGAATTGACTATTGTGTATAGTGTGAGGTAGGGATCAGATTTTATTTTTTCTGTATGCATATCCAGTTTTCCCAGCAACATTTAATTAAAGGCTGTTTCTTTACCACTGTGCCCTGCAGTGCTAGGTTTGTAGGAAATCAAGAGCCACTTATAGATGAATCTATTTTTGAGTCACTTTTTTGTATTCCTGTGGTCTTTTTTGTATCTATCCTTGCATTAATACCAGACTGTCTTAATTACTGTAGTTTCATAAGTCTTGATATCCAGAACGAGTCATTTGATCTTTTCAAGATTCTCAGAGCTTTCTTGGCTTTTTGCATTTGTAAATATATTTTGTTATGTTGAATTATATAGAAATTGGCTTTTTAAGACCAGACTTACTGCTCTGACAGAGACTGGAGAAATCCCGAGAGTATGGCTCCCGGATACGCTTTTAACTCAGTACTGAAGTCATTCCTGAGGTTCACCCTTCAGCCAAAGATTGACAGGCCCATACAACAAATAATAATACATGTAGCTCAGCCATGCATATGAGACTAAATGGGTACACCAGCCCAGAGACAAGGATGAGAAGGCAGGGGACAGGGAAGCTGGATGAATGGAAAGGGGGAGTCCACGGTCAAGAAGGGGAGAGTGTTGGCACCTCATGAGATTGGCAGCCAATAGCACGAAACAATATGTGTATTAATTGTTTAATGAGAAACTAATTTGCTCTGTAAACCTTCATCTAAAGCACAGTAAAAAAAAAAAATGGCTTTTTAATAGGTCAAAATAGCAAAATTTAAGAATTTCACATAGTTTAACCTAATAGGATTGGCTTGGTGATTGCCACAGTAACCTCTTTGTGTTTTGATTCAGGTCGTAGTGAATCTACAGACCAAAAAACCCAACTAAACCAAACCAAACCCAGTACTGTCGAGTTGATTTCCACTCAGAATAACCGTATAAGACAGAGTAGAACTGCTTCACAGGGTTTCTAAGGAGCAGCTGGTGGATTCAAACTGCTGATCCTTTGGTTAGCAGCCAAGCTCTTAACCACTGCACCACTAGGGCCCTGAGTCTACAGACTAGTAGGAGAAAATTCTGCATCTTTACAGTCTTGTGTCTTTCCATCCATGTGCATGGTACATACTTCCTTTTCTTTAGATTTTCATTCATTTTGCACAATAACGTTTCATAGTTTTCTGTAAAGGGCTTTTATGTACATCTTTTGCTTGATATATTCCTAGATATTTGGTACTGATTGGTGTTATTTTAAATACTATTTTAGTATAATTTTATTTTTATCTTTTTATTGCTGGTATATAGAAATGCAGTTAATATGTGTGTATTGAAATTGCCATTCAGAAATCTGGCTAACATTATGAAGTCTATAATTTATTTATAGGTTATTTTGGATTTGTTTCATATGGAATCATATCTTCTGCAAATAATGTCAGTTTTATCTTCCAATCTTTATACTTTTACGTCTTATTTTTTATTCTTATTGTAATGTTTAACAGAAATGGTAATAGCAGGTATCCTTGTCTTATTCACAGTCTCAGAGGGAAATCAATTTATAGTTAATATTTGCATATATATTTTTTCCTTTTATTTTTAAACTTTATATATTATTTTGTTTTTAAAATATGTCTTTAAAACAGCATGTAGTGGAAATTTGTTTTTTAACCAGTTTGATAATGTTTATCTTTTAATTGTAACATTTGCTCTGTTTAATTTATGTGTGTGTGTGTGTGTGTGTGTGTGTGTGTGTGTGTGCATGTCTTAGTTATCTAGTGCTGCTATAACAGAAATACCACAAGTGGATGGCTTTAACAAAGAGAAATTTATCTTCTCACAGTCTAGTAGGCTAGAAGTCCAAATTCAGGGCCTCATCTCCAGGAGAAGGCTTTTTGTCCCTGTTGGCTCTGGAGGAAGGTCCTGGTGGTCAGTCGTTCCCTGAATTAGGAGCTTCTCTGCACAAGGACCCTGGGTCCAAAGGATGCACTGTGCTCCTGGTGCTTCTCTCTTGGTGGCATGAGGTCCCTCTGTCTCTCTGCTCACTTCTCTCTTTTATATCTCAAAAGAGATTGGCTTAAGACAATCTAATCTTGTAGATCTTATCAACATAACTGCCGCTAATCCATCTCATTAACAAAGTGATAGGATTTACAACACATAGGAAAATCACATCAGATGACAAAATGGTGGACAATTATACAGTACTGGGAATCATGGCTAGCCAAGTGGACAGATATTTTTTGGGGGACACAATTCAATCCATGACTGCATGTGTGTGTATATATATGTGTGTGTGTGTGTCACACACACATATATAGACGCACACACACACATCACCTTACTAAGTGCTTTCTATTTTTTCTGTCTACCCTACGTTACTTTTTTTCTTTCTTGCCAACTTTTGGATTGTTTAAGGATGTTTAATGATTCCATTTTTTCTTATATTAGCTTGGAAATTGTATGCTTTTCTATTTTTCTTTTAGGTTTACCCTAGAGACTACTACGTACATCCTTGACTTATCAAAATGTGCTACCTGGTACTTTGGATCTTTTCACAGAAAAAAACATGCAAGAAATGTAGAACACTTTAACTCTTTTTACGCACGTTCCCACTTATATGATATTTTTATATTTTCACACTTATTTTTAACTCTCAAGCTATTAAATATTTTGTAACTAATTTATTTAAATTTACCCTCATATTTACCTTTTAGTGTTTTTTTGTTTTTGTTTTTTCCCTGTATCCTAAATGTTCTATTTAGAATAATTTCCCTTCTGCATTTGCCTTTCCTTTAGGGCCAGTCTACTGGTTACAAATTGTCTTAATTTTTGTTTGTCTAAAAATATCTCTATTTCACCTTTGTCCTTAAAACATTATTTCTGCCTGATATATAATTCTAGATTGGCAGTTATTTTCTTTTAGACTTTGAAATATCAGTACAGTTTCATCTAGATTCCTTTTGTTTGTTTGTTTTGGTGGAGAAATTAGTGGTTAGTCAGTGCCTTTGAAGGTAATGTGTCTTTTTCCGCTGTTGCTTTTAAGGTCTTCTCATTGTCTTTGGGCTTTAACAGATTTGCTATGTTATGCTTAGGAGTGGCTTTCTTTTTTAATTATTAAGTTTATTCAGTTCTTCATAGGTTTATTTTTTTAAATTATGGCTTTTTGTCTTCAGTTTTGAAAAATTCTCAGCTACTGTCTCATTAAATATTGCTTCTGACACATTATTTCCTTTTTTTCTGTGACTCTAATTACATATTATACCTTCTCACTATATCCTTAGTTCTCTAACCATCCTTTCTTTATCTTCTATCTTTTTTGTTTCTCCATGCTTCTTTCTGGATTTCTAAAAATCTTTCTGTCTGTGATGGTTAAGGTTGTGTGTCAGCTTGGCTGGGCCATGATTCTTAGTGGCTTTGAAGTTGTGATGTAATTTGGCAGTTATGTAGTGAAGTGATAACTTCCATAATGAGATCTGATATAATATAATGAC